CCCCAAAACCCCAAAACCCCAAAACCCCAAAACCCCAAAACCCCTTAGAAATTAAGAAAAATGAATTTAAAATAAAATTAAATAATGAACTTGGAAAGAATAGACCAGGTCCTTTTTAATAGGGTAAGTCCTTGGTTTAGTGCTAAAGAAGTGTTAAACTTATATTTTTGGATTATAGAGCCCAAATTTTAAGGGAAGAGAGTCAACCAATGCTGATTCAAGGTTATGAGGAGGAAGAAACCAGACACTTGTGAATAACAAGGGTTATAAATCATATAATTCTAATACAAAAAGTATACCCATTGATGAGATCTTATAGACACAAGCCAGAAAGATCTAAGGAATAGGCAAAGACAGCAGCAGAATAAGAATTTAGAGTTCAGAAAATAAGCTTGAACGAGTCTTTTGTAGGATCATAGCTTATTCACAATAGCTGCTGGCAGAGCTAAAAGGAAACAAAATGGAATATCAGCAGGAAGATCTCAAGATAGAAAAAGAAGATATGAGGGTAGATCTGAACAGAATAGAAGAATTCAAGTATGATACTCAGCTCATATATAGAATGATACTAGAAGACTCAGTAAAATGCAATACGGATACAAGGGTATTTAATTGCTTCATGATTTAGCGAGTAGTGATCTTTATAGCAAATTTAATAAAAGATCAGGTTCATTTACACCTTCGTCAGGACTGAATTCAATCACATAGTACTTTATTATTTACTTTTCTAGTAACTATATGAAAACATCAAGTGGAAATACTAATCTTCAAAAAATCAATCATCACTTAAGCAATTTTGTTCAATATCCACAAGGTAGAACTGGATATAACAAGAAGATGACTACAGCTCAGACCCACAAGTAAAATTACAAATCTAATTTTAGCCAACTTAATAGTTTTCTCTCTACTAACCCCATCGGAACCCATGATGTTGCAAATAACAACACTCAATACAGACTCGGTCTAACCCAGGCTGAACAGTACATCTCCCCTCCTCACCATAGGCTAAAATCCCACCAAAGGAACCTCCTCAAGGCCCAACTTCTTCGTACCCCCCTTCTAATCCCTAGACCAAATCAACACCAAAAACTCCAAACTCAAGCTCGAAGGCGAGATCGACCGCCTCTTCCTCCAGTAATTCCCCTCCTCACACACAGCCAGCACAACGCCCAGTTCAAAGATTTCCAAAACTCCCAAAAACTCCACCAAAAAGCCACCTTATCCCAAAAACGCCAACTCGCTCACGACCAGCAGAAAGAACTGCACCAAAAGGAACAACAGCACTTAAGAAGTCTCCAAGTTGAAGCAGAGTACGACCAGGTGCTGAAGAACAAAATGATCCAGGATTATAGAGCAAAGTAGGATCTTGAGTGACCTGTAGGATGGATGGGGAGAAGAAGAGGAAGGTAGCAGAGGTGGGGTATTGTAGGGGTAATGAAGAGGGAAGGAGGAAGGTGATGCAGGAGAGACAGAGGGTTACACAGGAGCAGTGGAACGAGATGAAGCAAGTGGATAGTCATATTAAGATGCTGAAATAAGGAAAGAAAGGAGTTTAAGATTAATGTAGGGATTTTGAATATTTTTTAGAAAATGAAAGCAAAGAAGAAGTTAGCAGAGATGAGAAGGAAAGATATGAAGGTGCAGAGTAAAGAGAAGAAAGCTTGAATTGATAGGTAGTAGAGAACTTTTATAATTTAGGCAAACGGAAATTGCCAATCCTGTTAATTCGATAGATAATTATATACTGGGTAAAGTTCAAAGAACCCACCCAAATCCTGAAGTTCAAAATCAAATAGATAAAAAGCAAAAAATAACTCTAGCAAGGTTTCTTCAACAACAAATAAAAGTAATTTTCTTAAAATATTGGTATTTTAGAACCAAGAGAGTGCCCAAATGGTCGAAGTAGATATAGATATAAAACAGGCTAAATTATTCCAAGAAGACACTAAAAGATATAATCAAGAAAATTGGAACAACTTCAAAACCCAAAAGCAAAAAGAAATCCAAAACGCTAAAGCAGTCAAGCACCAGATTGAGCATGGGATATAAATTCAACATCTAATTCCAAAAATGGGGTTTTGGGGTTTTGGGGTTTTGGGGTTTTGGGG